CCAATGGAGCCCTGGGCTTAAGCACACCTAAGCACAATGGTAAATCTGGCACTGATAACTATCATTTTTTCTTTTCTTTTCTTTTTTCTTTCTTTCTTTTTGTTTTTGTTTGTTTGGTTTTTTTTTGAGCAACAATGATTGTTTCTCATCCCTAATGTTTGTTACTGGCTATATCAATAAACTTAATTTTTTAAAAATAGAAATTATATCAGAACTGTTGTGATGAAATTTTATAGTGTTAACTAGAACTTAGGCTAGTTTAAGCACTTTTTTAAAATGTTGCGCAAATTGGCATCCCGTGCTTCCTTCCACACTGTTCTTCCTCAGGCTGCATAATGGCCACAGCTCCATATTTTCTGATGCAAACATCTACTGAATGGCCAAAGAGTATGCAGGGATGATTCAATTATGGCATTGCTCAGATGGTAGCTACCACTTTCCCAAACTTCCACATAAATATGTTGGTGGAACTAATTAAGTAGGATCTTGGCTGTTTGGTTTAACAAATTAATTCACAACGTATTTATTTCCATAGTAATTTTTTGAAATGTACCTAACAATGCAATGTTAGTGAAGTACAGCTGGCCCTCCACATTGGCAGGTTTGATATTTTCAAATTTGATTATTAATAGATTGTATTAAAATGTTCTCTCTAGGAATCTCTAGGTCCACCAGCGCAATTCTTCTGGAAGACCTAGAAAGTCCTAGACAGGTGTTCTCTTGGGTTAAAAGGGCAGCATTTTTTTTAAAATGTGTGGTTTTTCACTTTTGATGGGGTCCTGTGTCCCTAACCCAGTGAATTTGGAGGGCATGCTATAATTTCCTTTTAATATGTTAGTACTACCACTAACATTTCCAAAATTTGGACATCTGGGATAAAAGTGAGCGTCCCTGCCCAAACATGTGCCAACTCTGCCCATGTTCACAGAAAAGGAGATTCTTTCACTAAATGCTCTTTAAATTATTCAAGGGATTGTGAACCCTTCACTCGATCACAGGGTGAATACTCCCATATACTTGCTTTGATTTTTCTTGGTTTTGTGTTTAGTGAAGAATAAATCTTTGACACAATTACCTAGGAAAATATTTTTTTAAGGCTGCGTTTAAGAAAATGCATTTTGTTGTTGTTTATGTTGGCTGTTGATTCATTGCTTTAAAAGAAGACATTTCAGTTTTACGGCTTGCTCATTTAGACCTTCTAAAATATCTGCTGTGCAATTCAAGTCAGTAACTCCACAGGTCAGAATTGCCTCTAGCTCTGTTAGCTTTCATGGGGGGTTGAAGTTAAACCTGGTTACTTCTCTGTTTTGATGTTGCACTCAGTCCAGATGATATTAAAAACATATTTTTAAGAAGCTCTGATCTTTGAAAAGAAAGCAGAAAAGAGATGTCTGTAATCATAAGGAAACTAATAAACCAACAGGAACAGCTGTTGAACACCCTTCTGGCTAGTCTGAGATTCATTTCAATTATTCCAAAAAGACACCCAAGGTGAGCACTGCAGTATGTTTTCTGTTTTATATCTAGCACATCTGTGCCAAATGTTATTTCCTCTAAATAGTATTCAACTCATTATTTCCAGCAGGTTTCCCATTCTTATCCAGGCTTTTCTCCTTCACTTGATATGAGAGAGAATTCCAGTTATCATTATCATTTATTAGTTATAGTTATTCCTATTTTTATGGCAGATTTGTTCACAATGCCGACCTTTGGTTCTAATTCTTATTTTAAGACCAGAGATTTGCCAGAATGTCTCAGTGATATACTGAATAGAATATCTGATAGAACTCAGAATAAGAAAGTGTCCAAATTACTTCTGGACATGGACCCTAAGTAACTAATGGAATGCTTTTATTTTGTGTTGCTACGAGGGGCATTCATTAAAGATTTCCCCTGACCCACTTCCTGTGGACTGAGAGCAATGAAACTTGGCACAGCTATTGGTCCTTCTCTACATAGGTGCCATCTAGGGACACACACTTCTCCCATCTTTTAAAGCAACTGTAAACACCTTGCTTGTAGAAGTCAATAGATTGCTCCAAAAGCCACGTTGTGACTTTGGAAATCAGAGTCTCATCATCTGAAAAATATTTGCCCTTCAAAAATAACTTCATTGTTAGAAAGAGGTGGAAGTCCCATGGTGCGAGGTGAATAAGGGGGATGTGGTAGAATTTCAAAGCCACAGGTGCATGCTTCCACTTGGGCAACATGTGAGTTGTGAACTGGGACACCTTTGATGAGCATGCTACATCTCCTGGTTTTGATTGCCTCCCACAATTTCAGCAGTACTGAAGCATAGTATGCCCCAATGATCATGGTACCCTTTGCTAGGAAATCCATTAATACTACTCCGTGCTGGTCCCAAAATACTATGAGCATGACCTTGCCTGCCGAGAGTTGGGCATGTGCCTTCTTTGGAGGTGGTGAGTCATAATGCTTCCATTGCATCAACTAGACTTTAGTCTCAGGATCATAGTGATGAACCCAGCTTTCATACAGTGTGATCAGTCTGTTGAAAAAGTCCTCTTGGTTTCCATGGCACATCATCAATAGAGCCTGAGAGCATTCAACTTGTTTCTGCTTCTGGAAAGGTGTGAACAGCCAGGGGACCCAGCAAGTGGATGCCTTATGCATGTGAAGATGGATCATTTTTTCCACAGACGCCACACTAATCTTGACATTTTGGGCTAAGTGGCTAATGATTACGCAGCAATTCTCCAGAATGGTGATCTTCACTTGCTCCACTTCAGCACCAAATCAAAACCATTATAAGTTCTGAGTTGTAAATTCTCACATAACCTATAGAGACTTCTATCATTACACATGTGCAGCTTCACTATCCTGGGATAAATAGAAGTGGGCCAGGGGAAATCTTTAATGAACACCCCTCATATGTAAAAGATTTTAAAAAAGCATACAAAAGCTGTGGCTTGACTTGTACATAAAAATTAAGATTATCAGTATTTTTAACGTACCTTACCACACTTATAATAATAGATACAATACAATTGCTTAACTTCTTGATCGACACTTAAAAATTTCATTGTATTTTAATTATAAGAGAATTGGAGTAAGAATTCCCAGCGAGAACTGCATGGTATTGCATGATATTAGCTATGAGATATCCAAAACAATATGCATTCTGTCCAAACATCTCAGCCAAAATACACAAGATGAAATAAAAGTAAAATTAAGTCCAGATTTTTTTTAAACCCATATATTTCTTAAAGTGTGGGGTGCTTCCTGGTCCTAATGATATCTAATGTACGTGACAGAATAATTTTTATTTTCCTGACATCATTAGTTTATGAAAGAAAGAAGGGAAGAGAGAAGGGAAGGTAGAAGGAAAGAAACAGCACTAGGGTTTTTTAAATTAAAAATTTGTTAAACTAGGGCCAAAAAAGTACCCCGATGGCAAAAATGAATAGATTTTTTAAGACATATTCTTGAGCCATCCATATTTTAGTTTGTTAAAGGGAAAACTATACATGACAAGTAACCGAAGTTAGAGGAATTATTTACAAGTGAGCAAGTGACTTTGTTAGTTTGGCTGTGTTTGAAATCTACTGCCAAAAAAAAAAAACTGAGGAGGAATTAATCATGCCATTCTAGCATATGAGGGTTAACTCACCAGGATGGTTATGGGGATGAAAATGGGAGAATTCTACATTTGCCCTTCTTGATTCTTTGTAGGAGTGGGCATAATCTAAATGTGATAAAGATATGCTACTAGTATGGTATGGAGGCACATAATGAAGTTCTGCTAAAGATTTATTTGGCAAGTAGGTGTGAAGAAATCTAAAGAAATTATCATGTGATAGATGATAGTAGATGATAGATAGATAGATAGATAGATAGATATAGATAGATAGATAGATAGATAGATAGATAGATAGATAGATAGATAGATAGATGATAGATAGAGATAGATAGATAGATAGATAGATAGATAGATAGATAGATAGATAGATAGATAGATAGATAGATAGATAACCCTTGGTCAGTGTATTAGATTGAAATAGCACAGGAAACACATCAGATTTAGTCCCATAGATTAATGCCAAATTCATACCTTGTCAATCTTAATTTATGCAAATGACAGCATCCATAAGAAGACTGAGAAATGTTCAGTGGGCAAAGGATAACTAACATACTGTTTTGGGGGAGAGGAAGAATAAGATGGAGAAAGAATAGACACGGTCACCAGGGACAGAACTGGACGAGTACCTGCACTCCGCTCCCTATCGGATTCTTGGCATCAGTCAATGGTGGGCTGTCTGATTCCTGATCCAGGAGACATGCAGAGCTGCCAACCCTATGGCGTTGTAACAAATAAACAAGTTGTAGCCTTGGTTATCCCAACATCTTGTGTTCGGCTGTTTCTTTGAGTGGGTGAGGGAGGTGCAAGGGTTCACGAAACCAAAACAATTTATTTTCTTTAAAACAATTTGAACATCCCTTTCTGGGGAATCCAAAATCTGCTTCTCCTTAATGCAAATCTTTGCTGCTGTTGTTTTTTAATTGTTTTCAGAAGACATTTTTCCACACAGACAACCCTCCTTTTCTGCAAACACAATTGCTCCTGGAAGAATAGAGAATGAATAGTTTGGATTTTCCCATCATTGTTTTCTTTTCAGCTATTGACTTGGAGCCCCCGGTGGCGCAGTGGGTTAAACCCCTGTGTGGGCAGGACTGAAGACCGACAGGTAGCAGGTTCGAATCTGGGGAGAGGCGGATGAGCTCCCTCTATCAGCTCCAGCTCCTCATGTGGGGACATGAGAGAAGCTTCCCGCAAGGATGATAAAAACATCAAATCATCCGGGTGTCCCCTGGCAACGTCCTTGCAGAAGGCCAATTCTCTCACACCAGAAGTGACTTGCTCCTGACATGACAAAAAAAAAGCTATTGACTTCTTCTGAACATTGCCACAGTTTTGATTCTATTAACAATCACTATCCTCTCTTTATTTTATTTTATTTTATTTTTTACTTCTGTTTCAGGTCTGGATGTGTGGAGGTGGCATGTTTGATGTTCCATGTTCAAGAGTTGGCCACATCTACAGAAAATATGTTCCTTACAAAGTCCCATCTGGAACTAGCCTAGCAAGAGTAAGTAACTTAATATTTATTTTATGTGATTCTTCAGTTGTAAGTGCTAGTGGCATATATCAGTTGCTTTGTTCAGAAGTAAAATGTTGTGTAAAGAAAAAAATCACAACATAGGCTCTGGATTCAAACATAAAATATCTTCCAGCCCTTGCTTTGAACAATCAAAATGTGAGTGCAGCCACTCTTTGCCTCATCCTCTCTCACACAATGATTGATAGAAGTCTTCCTGGCCACTCTGCACATCATGTATCATCACATTTACTGGCATTTGAATTGTGGTAAGAAAATTCCCCTTTCACTGCCTGATTTTAATCAAACCAAGATGCTCCTAGAGCCTTGTAGAAGTTGCAGCTAAGGGACTATTACAAAGAGCAAAGAGATTGAGTCTATCTGCCTTCCAAGCATTGGACTGGGTTTTTTTTTTGTTACTGGTTTACAATTGTAGTTCTGAAATAAAAATGTGTAACAGCAGAGACTCTACTGGGAAATAGTAATGTTAAATAGAGGCAAAATGGTAAACTGGAAATTGCAGTCCTTGCAGTTAAGGTAGAATGTTGCACTATGTGTAGATCCTCAGGAAAGGCAATCCATGCTGTCTTAGTCAAATTTTTAGATGTGCTCCATGAACTCTGTAAGGTTCAAGGGGCATTGGCCTTGGGGACCACATTATCCCCAGCCTGGGCTACCGCTTTGTAGTGACAGGATTGTAATGTAGGGTTGGATATAGTCTCCTGGAATCTGGCTGGCTGGGAAAGTAAAGTGGCAGATAAGGAATTCATTGGAACTATTCAGAAATTTGACATTATCTGCCTGCAAGAGACCTGGACACATGAACTTAATCCTCCATTCCTAGGGATTGTAATGGGTTAAACCCTTGTGTAGCCTGAATTGCTGACCTGAAGACCTGAAGGTCAGCTGTTCAAATCCATGAGGCAGGTGAATTCCCATCTATCAACCCTGGCTTCCCATGCGAGGACATGAGAGGAGCCTCCTACAGGATGCTAGCTCATCCAGGCGTCCCCTGAGCAATGTCCTTGTAGACAGCCAATTCCCTCACACCAAAAGCAGCTCAGGTTACTTCTGATACAATTTTTAAAAAACCTGCAAATCTATCTCTTGCTCGAAAAACCTTGGTAGTGGTTCCTATTATTTGCAAAAGGCACAAAAAATCAACTAGAGCCACTATTTTGCTCTGATGGCCTGTTTGGTTTCAATTCAAGAGGCTAAAATTCAACTGATTCTCTGCTCAGTATCCCCATGCTCCATTTCCCCAGCCAATTGCCAAACAAAAGAGGATGTGTTAACATGAACCAATCTCACAAGGCTGTTTTATCAAATCAATAAAAGCTTAGCAATCGATGCATTTTCAAGCAGTCATGTCCAAAGCAGGGGGGTGCAATCTTTTGTGTATGAATGCAGGGAAAGGTGCCTTTATTATTATTTGGTCTTTAAATGCTGCCGACTGATGCTTGACTTCAACAGCCATCACTCAACTGCCACCCAACCAACAGAATGGCAATGAGTGCAACTCGAGATAGGAGATCTCTTGAAAGAAACACCTTTCTGAAGTAATAAGTGTTTTGTTGATCCCATTCTGACATTCCACTGAATATTTTATTCACAACTGTTTCAGAAAAATTGACTACTTTCCCTATTAGAACCTGCCCAGTGCAGATGTAGGTAGTGTACACGGTGTGGGTCCTTCAAAGCTACTTAAGGTCCCGTGGGTTTCTTTTCCTAAAACTGTAAATAATTAGAAGGCACTGTCAGAGTATTTATTTAAGGTGAGGAAGCTACCCTAGATCTGAAGCAGGTCTTGAAAGAAGCCTTTCAATGTTTCTCACTCCTAATCTAACAGTTAAAAGAGCTCAAAGACATAAACATGTTCATCTGGATCATTGAGCAAAGGTATATTGTAGCATCCATGGAACTAAGAGAAAGAAATTTGTAACATAAGATTACATAGACTGAGTCTACTTCACCAGGTTTCTACTTCTTGCAACCAATGAATTAGACTTATCCTACAAACTTCTCAGCCTCAATGGGCTACAATATCCTTTTGAGTTCCAAAAATGTATGCAGACTTGAGTAAATTATATGTCCATAGAATCATACAATCATAGAGTTGGAAGAGACCACAAGGACCATCCAGTCCAGCCCGTGCCATGCAGGAACACAGAATCAAAGCACCCTCAATAGATTCCCAACTTCATGCCAGTACATATGTCTAGCAGACTGAGACAAATGCATGAAGTGGCAACATTGGGTTGTGTGTAGATTTGCCAAGCTTATCCCAGAAACTGAATGCTCAGGATGAGCTTTTGTGATGTTACAGGGATCAAGCCCTAGTGATGCTCTCAAACAACAAATTGTCCTAATTTGCAGGGATATCTGAAAGACCACCAGCTCCCATATGAGTCTGCCAGGGGTTTAAGCTCTTCATAGGAAGTTCCATTGTACGTCCCAACACCTTATAAAGTGAGATAAACCATGCAATAAGTACTCAACAACCTAACTATGTTGGTGGGTACATCTTGCAAGTTTCTCTGTAGCAGAACCTTGATTGGGAGCTTCAAGGAAGGTTCCAATCACATAAGCTTATAGCAGGCAGTCAAGACAGTGCTAGCCTTTATGGCATTCAATATTTGAAAGGGTTGCTTTATCTAGGATTAACTAAGATTCTAGGGTTGTTTTTAGTCAACTTCTAGGCATTTCAGAGGATTTCACTGTATTTTAACATATTTTATCTGTCTATTGTTTTTATTATTTTTACATGTTTGTCACCCCAGACGCCCTTGTGAATTAGGGGGAAGTGATACAGAAATACTTAAATAAATAAAATTAAGTATTTCTTCTCTCCAACAAAAAGTGGAAATTGTTTTGTTAATGCAATTGATTTGGAATAGTGTGTGATGGCATGAAAGGTTTTCATAGTTGCCTCTGTAGGTTGACTTGAAATGGTTTAGTTGGCATGCTTTTCCACTGGCTAAGCGCAGGTTTTACAGCCAAATTTGTTTCCTAAATTCCTTGAGTCCTACTATAGAGTTGTATTTGTTGACAGCAAGTCACCTGTGATAAATTAGGCGAAAATGCCCCCTAGTGACATTTTTGTGTATATATACACATACAGTTGCTTTAAAAGTATGCAGTCCTATATTCTGCCCTCACTTTCCAGATGTAGCATAAACAGTTAGCCACATGAAGAGTTTTTAATCAAGAGATTGACATCCCCTGTAAATGATCTTGGGGGGGGGGGGGTGTTGCATTTTGATGGCTCTACCTATTGATATGACACAAACTATGTTCTTCCATTTACTGAAAGGCGTAAATTATTCTTAAACAGCTGCATGTTCTTTATAACATGGTCTTCCAGTTGTCTTCCCCATCATTCCTGATTGGTGATTAGCAGTGAAGTTGAATTTCCAGCACCACCTGTAAGGCAGCACAGTCCTCAGTTCATATTCAAAGGCTTCCTAATGTTGCAGTTGTATATAAACACACCCAAGAATAAGATCTGTTAGATTCAGATGAACCAACTTCTGAACTGAGTTGCATACATTTTGTAATTATACCTTGCAGCCACGTCCATTGCAATCAGATTTTTCTTGTTTGCTGTTGGTTCACAGCCCCTCCGCTGCTTCCGTTTTGCCACCCTAATGCCAATGAATAGACCCGCTACCTTCCTATATGGTGTACAGCACACATACTGTTGTTCCTTGATTGTGTCTATAATGCAGTTTTAGTCTTTTCCTACTGCCTTCCACCTTACCAGACATTATCACCTTTTCCAAGGAGTCATGCTATTCATGGTATTTCCAAAATATAATCCCCTCAGTTTTGTGATTTAGGCATCTAGGGCTTTATTTGTTTTCAGACTAATTTATTAGTCCTTTTGGCAGTGCTTGGTACCTGTCGAACTCTCTCAAATGAAGTAATTTTGTTCCTGTCAGCTTCTTAAATATCCACCATGCATATAAACAGCATGAATACTATAGGTTCATAAATAGCTGTGAAGCAATGTAGAACATGTGGTGCTATGAGTGTGTTCAGTTCAGCCAAAACTGCCAGCAAGACCTCACGGCATCCTCTGCATTGTAATTATCAGAGACAGATGTGTGGGTTCGATGCCATGTATCATCTCTAGCTTTTGCCCCATTGGCTTTCTATGCCCTTTCTTTACAAATCCAATGGCTTAGAAATTTCTCAGAAGAATCAAGTTGTATTGTTTCCCATAAAATGGTAACAAAAGGCAACCCGATGTGAGGCATAAGTCATTTAGAAAGAAGTATTCTCAGGATATCATTTCTTAAAGTGCTCTAATTGCAACCACACAATGCCTGCTGGCATTAATGTTTTGTTTTCTGTTGTGAAGACAAAGCAGGTGGTAACCTATCTTGCTGTGCCAGCTGAAATGTGCTCCATTTGTTCTGTATCTCACTCTCTTTGTATTTGGATACGTCTTATTGGTTTTGAGACATCTCGCTTTGTTCGCTTGGAGCAAAGCAAATTAATAATATTTGGGAGAGCTGTTTCTAAATGAACTTAGGAAGCAAATCACAATGGGAGAGACTATTCCAAGCTGAAACATTATCTCATGCCACAGATTATGAAATCTGCATTGTTCATTGTCATACTGCACAATGTGTCTCTCAGCACTCTGTGGCTGATATTCTGTTAAAGAAGTAACATTACCAAGGGTACTTCTGGCATTTTTGAAGGGTGATGATTTGAGATATTCCCTGCTGGAATATCCTTACAACAGATGCCTTCACCTGGAACCTGATATGGAAAAAACAATTAAATGAAGTTTAACTGTTAAGTGGAAAACAAGGTATAAAAAAAAACAACACTGCTGCAGTTTAGCAGCTTTTGTTTTTATCAGAACTTGAGAGTGTTCCTTCAGATTAGACCATCTGGGTAAATTGCACAATGAAGCCCTACCTCAGAGAATGGGTGAGAAGATGCATTGCTGAATATTGTTCAACATGAATATGCCCCAG